TGGAGAGGTCGAGGTTGAGGTCGATGTAGCGGACGTCGTCTTGGCTGGCACCGCCGCAGATAGCCTCGTCGGAGGAGGAGTACTCGGCCGGGGCTTGTACGGCAGCCGCCATGTCCTGCACCATGGCGGTTTTCGGTTGTTGCGGGATCGGGCGATGAGTCTGGGGATCGATGCCTCGGCCGAGGAGCTTCCGCTTGATGTGCGTGTTCCAGTAGTTCTTGATCTCGTTGTCGGTCCTCCCCGGTAGCCGACCGGCGATGAGGGACCATCTGGATCATCAACCACCGTCGCATGCAACTCAGAAAGGTTCTTCACCTAAGCAAGGGAAACATTCATCTTATTGGGACTGCAAGATGACATACTTGTTCCCGAGCACGCCATGTAGCTTGATGATGTGCTCGTCTTCCTCCTCCGTGAAGTTGCCTCGCTTGAGGTCGGGCCGGAGGTAGTTTATCCACCTGAGCCTGCAGCTCTTTCCGCATCGAAGCAAACCTGCAGGCAAGCGGAGAACAGCATGAGCTGCAGAGCTGAATGGAATTGCTAGCTAGCTAGCTAGCTGCGCATGAAGTGCTCCGAAGAGGACCTGCAGCTTTGGGGAGTGATCTCCAGCAACCTTCACCATGGGCTTTGATGTAGGAGACGAGCTTCTCGTCTTCCTCCTTGGTCCATGCTCCCTTGTTGGTATGAGCCTTCTCACAGCACGGAGACCTGCCCATATTCCCAACACCTGTGCAGCGGGGTTCTCTATGGACTACACTTTGCGATGAGAGAGCAAAGAGCATAAACAAGAGAAAGAATCAGAAGGGAGGAGTGGGACAAGGGAAGAGAGAAAGAGAGCGAGAAGGGAGGATGGATTTATACGAGAGGAGGGGGAAGGTGTGAGCTTGCATTGAATTGATGCAAGGATCGAGTGGCAACAAAACCGGGGGTTGGATTTGTTAGGTAGGCCTTCTTTTACGTGAGTCTTTCTAGTTCTATATTAATCTTACTTCGCTCTCTCTCTCTCTCTCTCTCTCTCTCTCTCTCTCTCTCTCCATCTTCGATGGATTAAAGAAAAACAAAAGGCTTCTAGAAGCTAACTTATCTGTGTGGAGTGTAGGAGGAAGAGAGAATCCATCAATTTGTTGACCAACCCTTCTCTTCTTTTATTCTCTCTCCTATATGTTTGTGTAACAAGTGGAGCACTGTTTTACCTACTACTAATACTGCATTCCTTATAATTAGCTTGAGCATATACAAGAGATTAGAAGCTAGTAGGATTTGGAGAGCAATATAATTTCTTGTCGGAGATTAAAAGTTGAATTTAGATAATGACACGAGAATTTTAGAACTATCAAGAAATCCATAATTAACGTATGCATTAAATACTATGAAGACATCTCTACCCCTTTTTATACGTAAAATTATGTGTTATTTTTTATTATTGAAGGAGAAATGAATCATTAATCTTCATATTGTTCTTCATTGGATGTCCCCTCTGAAGAGAACTGGTTTACCTCCCTTGCTAATAAATCTATTGACAGTATAATCAGCAGAGTACTCATTAATATACTTGCCATCCACCGGTCACTGCTACACTGAGAACACAATCAAGAGGCCCAAGAAGAGGTAGAAGGATGGGGGATGACAAGAACAATCATCTGGGGAGAAGTGAGATCCTTGGCTACTCATCAATCCAGCTCCAACAGCTGGTGTGTGCTTCATTCAATTAATGCATTTCTGCTGCTGCACACTCATCCAGTGTTTCTCACTGATTGATAGACATCTACCCATTGTTACATCTTGGTGATCTCTTGACCAGTCAAGGTGGACTGTGACCCTGTTCCAGAGGAGGAATTTGGCAGATGTGAGATGAACCCAGGGTTTCCAGCTCTCCAGCAGAGCTCAGGACCCTACAAGATGGAAAAAGATGGCAGCTTTTCTTCTGAGGTCAAGTGGTGCATTCATTGCCCCCTTAGCTGAAAGAGGAAGGGGCACAAATGTCTCTTGACACCCTCTTCTCTCTGACCTCACTCCCCTCCTTTTAACTCATCCACCAACCTCCCTGAAGGACTGTAAGAAACAAGCAAGGATGGGAAATGGCTACCTACCCACCATGGTACCCATGCCTTTATGACAATGAAACCGTGGGGGGGGGGTGGGGG